TTCCCCCCACCCCCGCCAGTCCACCGCCCCCGCCCCCCTAGCCCAGTGCCCCCTCCGCCCCGACACTGGTTTGTGTCTCTTCGAAGCCCCCTCACCGCTTCCCCCCCGCCCAAGTGCCCCCCTCCGCCCCGACCATGTTTTACTTTTCGCGTCGCAGCCCACTCCCCTGCAGGCCCTACGCTGCCGCCCGCAGTCTCCGCTGCCCTTCAGCAGCCCAGTGCCCCCTCCGCCCCGACTACTTTATGTTTCGCGTCGCAGCCGGTCCACCCCCCCTCCGCGGGCCACCGCCGCCGACGCCGTCCTCCAGCCCCCCGCCCACCCCTACCGCCCTTCGGCATGCAGCCGCTTCTGCCCCCGCCCCCGCCCCCCGTGTCCCCAGTCCTCCAGCAATGCAATGCCCCCACCCGCCCCTCCGCTTTATGTTTCGCGTCGCAGCCTCCCGCTCCCCCCCTCCCCTCCCCACCTCCTCCCCGCAACCCACCTTGATCCCCCTAGGCGCCCGCCTCCGCCCCAACGACCTTATGACCAGCAGCCCATGTGTCCCCGGTTGTCTCCAGGCAGCCCAAATGCCCCACTTGCCCCACTGTCCCCCTCTTGTCTTACAGCAGCCCAATGCCCCCTGCGCCCCAGCAGTGTTCTCTTCCGCGTCGCAGCCCCCGCCCCACGGGGCCCCACCCCCTCCCCCCCCTCCCACCTACAGTCCACCGCTCCCGCCCCCCCTTCCCCAATGTCCTCCTCCAGCAGCCCAGTGCCCCCCTCCGCCCCGACACCTTGACATTTCGCGCCGAAGCCCCCCTCCCCGCCGCCCCCCCGCCGCATTGCCCCATCAGCCCCGGCCATTTTCATAGCTCCACGTTTGGCCATTCGTGCCAGCCTGCTGCTTGCCCGTGCATGCTTAGCTCAACCTCCCACATCGACCCAAAGGTAGGGTGCTTGTTCGACTGCTCGAACGACGAATCCGTGTGTTCTGACTCGATCGACTACCGTCTTGGCTTCCTGGAGCTTGGTGAGCACCACGACGCTCTTTTGCGAGATCGCTAATCCAGAGTCTCGCGTCACCACTTTTGCGTCGACCTAACATTTTGCCAGCTGCATGCGCATTGAATCCTAAAGCTCCTGACCGACTGACTCAAATCGGCGACAGGCCTACGTGCGCACGCCGTGGTTAACAGTTGCCCGATGTAATACGTGGTGCGATTGGCGAACCTCGTGCATCCCCGGAAGCCTTGAACGACCGATCGTAGTCCGATTGCCGCCGAGCCACCATGCATAGCGTCATCTCCATGCCCCAAACCCTCTGCACGTAAACTTAAGCGAATCGTCTCTCGTCCAACCTGGGGCAAACCTGCTGTGTCGTAGAATTTCCTGATGTCCAACAACCCTACGTCAGGTTCGTGTCGTGACGACCCCGGCGTTGGTTTCTGACTCCGCATGGATCGTTCAACCTTGAACGATCGGCGACTGTGGATCGCTCGATCGTTCCATATAGGCCGATTCTGGGCCACTGGAGGCGTTCAACCTTGAACGCCCGCGGCGAGGTCGCCGCCGGTCGACACGACGCGAACTTACCGTAGGCGAGGAGGGCTCGGAGGAAGGCAGAGGAAGGAGGCGAGCACTGCCCCGAGAAGAAACGAGGCAGGCGGCGAAGAGCACGAGACGAGAAGAGAACAAAGAGGTCAAGAGTCCCCTCGCGTGAAGGCGGAGGAGGGAGGAGGAGGAGGAGGAGGAGGAGGAGGAGGAGGAGGATGGGGAGGGAGGAGTAGGAAGGAGGTGGGGGGGAGGAGGGCTACCCTCCCATCCTCCCTCCTCCTCCCTCCTCCTCCCCTCCTCTCTCCCCCCTCCCCTCCTCCTCCCCTCCTCTCCTCCTCCTCCTCCTCCTCCTCCTCCGCCTCCTCCTTCTCCTCCTCCTCCTCCTCCTCCCTCTTCCTCCCTCCTCCTCCTTCTTCCTCCTCCTGCCTTCCCCTGCGGCCGACGAGGCGCGCCTCCACGCTGCGGCCCTGCGAGTCCCTGGCCACGTCCACCTCCCGCTGCAGATCGCGCAGGCGCGCGGCCAGCTGCTGCTCCTCGCCGCGGGGAGGCGCCGGCGGGCACTGAGCGCCGCGCGGCGCATCGACGGGCCCTCCAGTCATGGGAGGAGGAGGAGGAGGAGGAGGAGGAGGAGGAGGAGGAGGAGGAGGGGGAGGAGGAGGAGGAGGAGGAGGAGGAGGAGGAGGAGGAGGATCGATGTACCGATGCCGCTAGTTATACCTGCCTTGCTTTCGCCTTGCTCAGAGGCCTCCTGGATGGGGTCGGAGAGTCGCGCCGCCTCGGCGATGCATCGGCGATGCGCCGACGATGCGCGGGCAGAGTCGGCGATGCGTCGGCGACGTCGGCGTGAAGAAACGCGGGCTCCACATCGAGCCGCATCGTCGATGCATCGACGATGCGCCGCGATCCTCCGACCCCGTCTGCTCGGATCCCGTCCAGGAGGCCTAGACTGTTGGGGCCTCCTGCGCGGCACTGGTCGCCCCGGCTGGCTCCGGAGCTCTGGCCAGAAAGCCGGGCGGGAGAGGTCCGGGGAGCAGAGGTATCGGCTTCCTGTGGCTCCCCCAGACAGCGACTGGGCCCAGGGGGCTCGAAGGTTCAAGGCTTTCGAACTTGTTCGTCGGTTCTCGGCGGCGTTCCAGCCCGGGGATGCCTTCGAGCGGCCGCGCCTCGACGTGAGCGTTTTCAAGGGGTGCCCAAACCGTCCCGAACGGCCGCTGGTGGCCCCGGGTGATGACCCGACAGACGGAGCTCAAGCCAGACGATCAAAGCACGTCGACTCAGTTTTTGTGTAAGCAGTTGGGCCAAACTGACTACCCACGGCGTGCATGCAGAGGGGCAAGGAAAATTGCCCGTATACGTGCGCTAGAAGTCATGATGGGACAAGACCGACGTTTCAGGGCGTCCACGTGCCTTCAACCCCTCCTGCTTCTCCTGTTGCTGCTGCTAATCATGATCCTCGTGCTCACCATCCTTCTTCGCATCCGCATCCTCATCGTGACTTCCATCATTCCTCATCTTACTCGTCATCTCCATACGTTGCATCCTCTCTACCCCCCTCATTCTGCTCCTACGTCTCCTCCTCAGACTCCTGCCGCTCTTTCCCCTTCCTCGCCATTGCCCTTCCCCGCACCCTCATGGCCCGAAACCCGTAATTAGTTGGGCGCCCGAACTATCCGGGGTAACTCGGGTCTGGGGTGATTCGGGTTTGGATTCCCGAAAAACCAACCCGGGTTAGCCCTGACCCGAGATACCCCTGATGATTTGGGGCTCTGGACGCCCGAATTATCCGGGGTAAGTCGGGTCCGGGGTAACTCGGGTTCGGAATCCCGAAAAGCGAACCCGAGTTAGCCCTGACCCGAGTTACCCCTGATGATTCGGGGCTCTGAATTAAGGGCTTGAGGGCAGGAGGATTCAGCTGGCTCTCGCTCGCCCCCCCTTTGGGTGGCTTCCTGCATGCGTGCCGATCGGTGGCTCTGGCCGGCCCTGGCCCGCTCGGGCAGTGGGGTGTCGCTCACCCGACACGCCCTACTGGCACGCCCTCCTTGCCCGCCAAGGCTGAAGGGGCCCCAGGACACACAAATAAATACACACAAATAAAAAGATTCTTTGTACTCGTCGTCTCTGTCCTTCCCTTTCCCTGGGAGACCTCTTCCCCTGGGCTCCAGCCAAGCCGACCTTGAGCAACCTCGTAATTGAGTCGAAGGGAAGCCCCTTCCCTTTGATCCCTCCCCCGCCGGGAGGGGGGGGGGGGTAGCGACCCCCCCCCCGGGTCAGATACGACGCCCCCCCCTGGGACTCCTCTTCCCCTGGGTTCCAGCCAAGCCGACCTTGAGCAACCTCGTAATTGAGTCGAAGGGAAGCCCCTTCCCTTTGATCCCTCCCCCGCCGGGAGGGGGGGGGGGGTAGCGACCCCCCCCCCCCCGGGTCAGATACGACGCCCCCCCCTGGGACTCCTCTTCCCCTGGGCTCCAGCCAAGCCGACCTTGAGCAACCTCGTAATTGAGTCGAAGGGAAGCCCCTTCCCTTTGATCCCTCCCCCGCCGGGAGGGGGGGGGGGTAGCGACCCCCCCCCGGGTCAGATACGACGCCCCCCCCTGGGACTCCTCTTCCCCTGGGCTCCAGCCAAGCCGACCTTGAGCAACCTCGTAATTGAGTCGAAGGGAAGCCCCTTCCCTTTGATCCCTCCCCCGCCGGGAGGGGGGGGGGGGTAGCGACCCCCCCCCCGGGTCAGATACGACGCCCCCCCCTGGGACTCCTCTTCCCCTGGGCTCCAGCCAAGCCGACCTTGAGCAACCTCGTAATTGAGTCGAAGGGAAGCCCCTTCCCTTTCATTCCTCCCCCGCCGGGAGGGGGGGGGGGTAGCGGGGGGGTAGCGACCCCCCCCGAGTCAGATACGACGCCCCCCCCCGTCATTGAGTCGAAGGGAAGCCCCTTCCCTTTCCCTTCCCCGACGGGGGGGGGAGAGGAGGTCCCGGGGGGGGTCCCGGGGGAGTCCCGGGGAAGTCCCGGGTCAGATACGACACCTCCCTCCCCCACCTTCTCGTCCTTCTCCCCGTTCCCCCAAACCATCCCACAGCCCGTGCCTCTTGCTGCGCATTGCGAACAGGGTCGGCGGCACCGGCCGTCAGGCCTTCGCAATACACACAAATAAAAAGATTCCCCATCTTTTCCTATATATTTTTGTGTTTTTCTGTCTTCCCCCCCACTTCCCATATTTTTGCATGTTTTCCTGAGAATATGCGATTAATTGTGTCTGTGTGTTTTTTCCCCTCCTGAAAGGCGGCGGCACCGCTCCGCGGTTGCCCCTCTCCGTGGCCTCCCCTGAGCTTGGCGCGCTGCCGTGCGCGCGTGGCGCGCGCCTCCGTGCGCGTGTGGCGCGTGTGCGGCTTTTGTGGGCCGGTTCCGACGCCGTTTTTTTTTTACCGGCCCCGCCGCCGTGTTTGTATACCGGTGCCGGCTGCGGTTCCCATCCTGGAGCCGTGCTTTCGCCGTCCCCCGTCGCCGTTTTTGTTGTTCCCCCGCCTCCATCTGCAAGAGACACTTGTTTTCCGAAGCGGTGAAAACCGAACGGCCCTGCCGTTTCCGGGGCCCGGTGAGGTGAGCACCGGGCTCTCTTTCACTCACCCCAGACCCCCGACGTCGTGAATTTTTCATGACGTCGACCCCCATGTGTCTGGACCCATTCCCCGGGACCGGTTTTTCGTCCTGGGTCGTTTTTTGACGGTCCCGAGGGCCGGTAAGGGCTCCCAGAGGCCAAAAATAATGAAAAACCTCCCGTCGTGATTTTTTCATAACTCAAGGGGGTCTGGGACCAGTGGCTGGCCGAGGCTGCCGGCCAGCGTGTGCTCCCTCGTGGGCCGACCGCGGCAGGCCGTTGCACCAGGGGGCGGCCGGCCGAGCGGGGCCGGGCGGTGCAGCTGCACGTGGGCCGCCTGCAGCACGACGCACTTTCGCAGCCTTCCCAGACATGATCGCGTCGTAGAAAGATCAGGACGGGAGGTTTTTGCACATTTTCGGCCTCGGGGGGGCCCTCGCCGGGCCTCGGGACCGTCCACAAAACGACTCAGGACGACAAACCGGCCCCGGGGAAAGGGCCGGGACTCCCGGGGACGCCGTCCTGAAAAAAGCAGGGCGTCGCATGTCTGGGTTGCCCCGCCCGCCCTGTGCGTGCTCGGGCTTCCGAGCGGCTTCCTGCGTGGCGGGGGGGCCAGCTCGAGCGGCCGGGCCGGCTCTCCGCTCGAGCCGCGTCCGTCGCGGCGGCCCAGTGTCGACGCGGGCGCTCGGGCCCGGCACGCAGTCCTCCTCCTCCTCCTCCTCCTCCTCCTCCTCCTCCTCCTCGTCCTCTGCAGGCTCCTTCTTGTTCTCCTCCTCGTCCTCCTCCTGCTCTGGATGTTGCAGGTGCCCGGGAACAGGCGCAGTCCGTAGTGGGCTAGTGCCAATCTCCTGTGCCCCCCTCGGGGAAACGCTTGCTTCTCAGGACCTCGTCGAAGAGGGAGGGGGAGGAAGGGAAGGAGGGGGAACGGACGGAAGAGCGGGGTGAGAAGGGCCTCGGAGATAGAGAGAGAGAGAGAGACAGAGTGTTTAAGAGAGAGGGAGAGAGAGAGAGAGAGAACATACAACAAACGATAATAAATAAGAGGAGGAAATGGACGGAGGACGACGACGACGCGAGAAAGACGAGAACGACGAGAACGGCGAGATGGAGACGAGGGATGAGGTGGAGGAGGGGAGACAGGAGAGGGACGATGACGATGAGGTGATGGTAAGGAGAGGGAATCATTCTAAGCATCGGAGTAAAGCATCATTTTTCCGAAATCCGCGCGGCAATTTTGTGCCGACCTTTTCTTGCTCGAGAGAAAGAGGGAATAATAAGGGGAACGTCTAGGGGGAACTTGCTCGGGGGGGACCATCGTCCTGGAACCGACGATATATCGCCGATAGAACGGCGACAGGCCCCCGACAGCGAATCCGCACGCTCCTGGGGCGGGGTGGTATCTAGAGGCCCCCTAGATGTTTTCCGAGTAGATAGGGTCGCAAAATCGCGTCACATCGGCGATGCATCAACGATACATCGGCGATGCATCGGCGACGCCTGTGGTGCATCGACGACGCTGGCGTGGAGAAAATCGGGCTCCACATCAAGCCGCATCGTCGATGCATCCGCGATGCGGAGCGATCCTCTGACCCCATCCGAGAGGCCGAAAGTATCGGGACCCTGTCGACGATGACTGGGCGATCGGGAGTCGATGTATCTCCCGCGCCGCTGAGCCCATCACCCTCTAACGTGGCCCCTGGTCACCTTCCCCGGGAAGGATAATGATCAAGGCGAGGCTTAGGATCAAGAGAAGGAGAAGGATCAAGGATCAGAGAGAAGGATCAGGGAGAAGGAGAAGGATCAAGGATCAGGGAGAAAGAGAAGGAGCAAAAAGGATCATGAGAAGGAACAGGGATCAGGGGCCCCTAACGTGGCCTCTGATCATCCTCGGGGAAGAATGCGAAGCTTAGCTGCCCCGATACGCAAGACGCAACACGTGGCGTATTGATACGGAGCTCGACGCGTAGACTTGAAACATAGGTCTGACGCGATGCGTTCGCAAAAACGTGGGCCAATACGCTAAGCCAACACGCAGCGTATTGACGCGGACGCTTTGAGCACGGCACGTGTTGCGTATCAGAACTAGGCGGCGCGCCCGGGGGGGAAGTGCGAAGCGGCGGGCCTTCTCGTAGGGCTCAGAACCCCCCAGGACTTATGAGAAATTTTCGACGCTTCCCCGGAAACATAAACATGGCCTGGCGAACCCAATCATATGCAGTTGTGAAGACCGTCGTTGGACGCACCGCATTCGGAGGAGCTCCCTATAGGGCAACGAAGCGTGTGAGGGGTATGCCAAAACGTGTGCGGTGGGCGCATGTGAAAGCAGCCGCTGGGGCCGTCGGTGGAATTCCTGATGGGGCCACGAAACGCGTGAGGTGTGCTCGAATAGGTGCGGAGGGCGCATGCGAATGCAGCCATTGGGGCCGTCGGTATGGTGCCGCGAAGCGTGTGATGTGTGCCGAAATGGGCGCGGTGGCCGCATGCGGGCGCAGCCACTGGCGCCGTCGGTGGCGCTCCCCTGTGGGGCCACGAAACGTGTAAGGGGTGTGCCGAAATGGGTGTGCGTGACGCATGCGGGCGGTGGCACTGGGGCCTTTGGTGGAGCTCCCGATGGGGCCACGAAGCGTTTGAAGAATGTGCCGAAATGGGTGCGTGACGCATGCGGGCGGAGCCACTGGGGCCTTCGGTGGAACAGCTGGGGCCTTCGGTGGAGCTCCTGAGGCCTTCGGTGGAGCTCCCAATGGGGCCACGAAACGTGTGAAGAGTGTGCCGACATGGGTGTGCGTGACGCATGCGGGCGGAGCCACTGGGGCCTTCGGTGGAACTCCCTATGGGGCCACGAAGCGTGTGAAGAATGTGCCGACATGGGTGTGCGTGACGCATGCGGGCGGAGCCACTGGGGCCTTCGGTGGAGCTCCCTGTGAGGCCACGAAACGTGTGAGGGGTGTGCCGAAATACGAGTTCGTGCGTGACGCATGCGGGCGGAGCCACTGGGGTCTTCGGTGGAGCTCCCTGCGGGGCCACGAACGTGGTGTGTGGAGTGTGCCGAAATGGGTGTGCACTGGGGCCTTCGGTGGAGCTCCCTATGGGGCCGCGAAACGTGTGAGGGGTGTGCCGGCACGGGTGTGCGGGACGCATGCGGGCGGTGGCACTGGGGCCTTCGGTGGCCTCCCTATGGAACCACGAAGCGTGTGAGGGGTGTGCCGAAATGGGTGTGCGTGACGCTGGCGGGCGGTAGCACTGCGGCTTTCGGTGGAGCTCCCTGTGGGCCGCAAAGCGTGTGAAGAATGTGCCGGCACGGGTGTGCGTGACGCGTGCGGGCGGTGGCACTGGGGCCTTCGGTGGAGCTCCCTGTGGGGCCACGAAACGTGCGAGGGGTGTGCAGTAGTACTTCACACAGAACGCAGTAACGTGTGTGTAATGCTCTCTGCCCGTAGTTGTTAGCTCTCAATTTGGAGGGAGTTCAACAACCGGTCCACCATCCCAAGAGGTGGGGGAGCCAGAGCAAACTAGCACAGTGCAGATTGACCGCGAGGCCACAAAAGAGTGGGGCCACGAAACTTGCGAGGGGTGTGCCGAAATGGGCGTGCGTGACGCATGCGGGCGTTGCAGGGAGGAGGGGAGGAGGAAGGAAGGAGGAAGGAGGGAACGCGGGGAAACGAAGAGCCAACACCACAGGATGGTTGGGAAAAACCTCTCAGAAGGCCGGAGGGCTTCTGAGAAATCCCGTAGCCTTCTGAAAAGGCCCTCTCCTTCTCATTCCCCCCATCGCTCGCCGCCGAAAAATATTAGTACCCATCGGTCGGAAGGAACAGGTAGAAACATGAAGTAGGAAGACGATGAAAGTAGATTGACTTCCGTCCGCCCCCGAAAGGAGGACGGAAAAGGTGAAGCCACTCGATGATTGAAGTAGGAAGGCGCTGAAAGTAGATTCGGATCTGGGAATCAACGACCGATGGGCCGATGGGTATCGAAGCTAATGAGATGCGAGGACGACGACGCCGACAGAGGCTGCCCGGCGGGTCTCCTCGTGGCCGCTCCGCCGAGGGGACGGCGCCCGCTGGAGCGCCTCCAGCTGCGCGCGCAGCGCGCTCGCCTGCCGGGCCTGTCGGGGGCCGCGAGATCTAGGCCGGGCATGTCCTCCTACAGGCGGGCCTTGGAAGAAAAGTACAAAGTAGCGAAAAATATTCAAACATGGAAAAATAATCTACCTGCTCAGCACTTCTTCTTTACAGGCGAGCGTTTGTTGCCCGCCTCTACTTACATGACATGCCATGCCGGTGTTGTCTAAACGTTCGATGCGGGATTCCCAGGCCGCGGCTTTGTTTGTGACAAGCAAGGGGGTTAGCTTCATGCCAATTGTTTCTTGAGTGTCGATTGACTTTGAGTCTCATGCCAGTGTGTTCGATTTTGTTGTGATCGAATTCCCCGCCAATGATGTGTTTCAATGTTTGCTAGAATCGTATTTCCCGCTGGTTGTTTCCTATGTTGCACGATTCCCGCGCGAGCGCCTGTACTTTACTGATCGTCCCAGGCAGTGGGAAACAATAAGAGGAGGTAGGAGGAGACAAGCTCATAGCACGACACACACACATACATATATACTATATATATATATGTATACGTACACACTTCACGCGCTGCACGCTGGAAACAAAACAACCAACAACTGCAATCAATCGTACAACATCCTCAGGCCCTAGAAAATAACCAAGAGCATCGTCTCGCCATTCATTTCGAACCGCTTTCGTCCCTGAGTATCTAACTACCTGTGGCCATGCCGCCATGCTCGTCGTCGTCCTCGCCCCCTTGTCCTCCTCAAATCACTCCTCCTCAACTGTGCCCAGGACTCCAAAATTGCAAGAACATGGGGGGACGTACTCTGAATACCTCAATAGCTCTGGGTCCCCAGACTACGAGGGCCCCCCAGACTACAAGGGCCCCCCCCCACACCCCGACTAGAAGGCCCCCCCCTGGACTACAAGGGCCCACCCCTGGACTACAGGGCCCCCCCCCCGGACTACAAGCCCCCCCGCCTCCCCCGAACCACAAGGACCCCACCCCGGACTACAGGGCCCCCCCCTGGATTACAGGCACGCTTTCAAAGCAGGCGGGAGGCGAGGGTGAAGGACTTCTACTACCGCTCCCCAGCTGGCACATTTCGCAGGATCGCTGCGGTGAGGAAGCATCTGGAGGGCCACTGAGCGGGCCCGCGGGGTCAGAAATGCGCGACTGAAAACCTCTTTGCTCTGCCCATCTCCTTCCACTTTCCTCCTCCACCCCCCGACTACAAGGCCCCCCCCCCCTCCTCCTCCTCCTCCTCCTCCTCCTCCTCCTCCTCATCCTCCTCCTCCTCCTCCTCCTCCTCCTCCTCCTCTCCTCCTCCTCCTCCTCCTCCTCCTCCTCCTCCTCCTCCTCCTCCTCCTCTCCTCCTCCTCTCCTCATCCTCCGCCCTCCTCCGCCTCCTCCGCCCTCCTCCGCCCCTCCGCCATCCTCCTCCCCCTCCTCCCTCCTCCTCCTCCTCCTCCTCCTCCTCCTCCTCCCTCCTCCTCCTCCTCTCCTCCTCCCTCCTCCCCCCTCCTCCCCCCTCCTCCTCCTCCTCCTCCTCCGCCTCCTCCTCCTCCCTCCTCCTCCTCCTCCTCCTCCTCCTCCCTCCTCCTCCTCCTCCCTCCTCCCCCTCCTCTTCCTCCTCCTCCTCCGCCTCCTCCTCCTCCTCCTCCTCATCCTCCTCCTCCTCCTCCTCCTCCCTCCTCCTCTCGAGCATATGCCTGGGGCGCACAGGCCGCGCGGGGGCTACCCCCGCCGGCCGGCCTCCTCCGCGCAGGCGGCCTCGCGGCGCTCCGGCCCGGCCGCCGAGGGGCGAGCGGCCCGGTCCTCGCGCGGCCGCTGCAGCCGCCGGCGGAAAAACTTAAGTCGGGCCTGTTAAAACGACGCGAAGATCGGGACAAAATCGGATCGGGATAACTCGAAATCTCTGAGAATCGGCGGGTTTGGAGGATGTATTGGGCGCCGCGGCCGCTCCAAAGCGTTCCGGAACGCTCTGAGAGCGCTCCGGAACGCTCTGGAGCGATTTATCCCGATCCTAGCCTTGTTTTACCTGTCCCCCTACAGGGGGATTTTCGACGAGAAATGCAAAAACACCCCCAAAAAGATCCCCAAAACAAAATCAAAAAAAATCTGGGGACTATTTTTGGAGCATCTTCTGACCATTCGGGGGCATTTTGGGGGGTATTTTTAGTTTTGCGTCGAAAATTCCCCTGTAGGGGGACACGCCCGACTTCACGGAAGTCTGACGTCACACGTCGCGCCACTGGCGCTCTGGGAGCCGACGTCCCGAACAAATTGAGACCATCGCGACATAACACGACTGGAGCCCCGGACCCAATCTTTCTGCGCTACGGTTTGAGCCGGATCCACTTGTCAGGGCCCCGGGGCCCGGGGCCCGAAATGGGGCGAGAACGTCCGGCTCGAAAAGTCGGAGTCGCCAGGATCTCAGGGTTCAGCATCGCCCAGCACCACGACGGCTCCAGCGGTCTGACGTCACGCGTCGCGCCACTGGGCAAATGCCCGCCACCGTTCCTCGAGGCACGGAGCTAATCCGCCGATCCGGCGTGTGAGTTTCTGAGAGCGTGGGCTTGAGCTCGCTCAAGCTTCGCTCTGCCGAGGGGGGGGGACTTAATTTCCGACCTAATTCCGACCTAACTCAATGCTTCGCCCCACCCCCCCCTCCAGAGCGGACCCCCCCCCCCCTGCCGCCCCGCCTGCAGCCCCCCCCTCCCCCCCAGAGCCTCACCCCCCCCTGCAGAGCGGACCCCCCCCCCCCCCTCCCTGCTCCCCCCCCCCCCTGCAGAACAGACCCCCCTCCTGCACCCCCTCCCCCTGCAGAGCGGACCCCTCCCCCCTGCAGAGCGGACCCCCCCGCTGCAGCCCAGCCCACCCCCCCCCCCCCCTGCAGAGCGGACCCCCCCCCCTCCCCTGCACCCCCCTCCCCTGCAGAGCAGACCCCCCCCCGCAGCCCCTCCCTCTGCCGAGCGGGACCGCGGACCCTGCAGAGCAGACCCCCCCCCCCCCCCTGCAACCCAGCTCCCCCCCCGTCGTCGTCGTCGTCGTCGTCGTCGTCGTCGTCGTCGTCGTCGTCGTCGTCGTCGTCGTCGTCGTCGTCGTCGTCGTCGTCGTCGCGTCATCGTCGTCGTCGTCGTCGTCGTCGTCGTCGTCGTCGCTCGTCGTCATCGCCGTCGTCGTCGTCGTCGTGGTCGTTGTCGTCGTCGCTCTCGTCGTCGTCGTCGTCGTCGTCGGCGTATTCGTTTTCGTCGTCGTTTTCGTCTTCCTCGTCGTCGTTCATTTCCACAAGCACCCGGAGCGCCCCGGATCGGCGGCACTGGCCGGAGGCCACTACAATATCCCCCCTGTAGAGGGACAGGCCCGACTTCAGGGTAGATGGGTCGGAGCCCGCGCTGACTCACCGATGCATCGGAGGTGTGCCGGCGACGTTGGCGATACATTGGCGACTGGAGAAGATCGGGCTTCACATCGAGGCCCGAAGGCTCCTTGGGTACCGTACTCCTTCGCACCGGGTGAACCCGACAATCGGGGGGAGAGGGCATGTTCAGTCACGATGCTATTGCCTCAGGATGCATTCCAAGAGTTTCAATGCACCTAGCGGCCTCGTTTCCGTAGCACGTGTGGAGCAATAGGAGCTCCTAAAGATCCGGGAAAGATTCGAACCGGTGGTGATGGATTGGGAATAACGACCATCTACATACTTCATGAAATGGTCGAGCGCACTGTCTGACAGATGTTTTGCGACAGCGGGCCGCAAGAGTACTCAGTTGGCAGGTCAGAACGCACATCTTCTGATGCTGCTTGCGTTCTAGATGTCTTGCGGCAGCGGACCGCTGAAGCACTCAACCAACCAATTAGCACATGCATCTTCTGATGATGTTTGGATTCTCGATGTTCCGGGACAACGGACCGCGCTGAGGCACTCAACCAGCCGGTCAACACGCATACACACATCTTCTGATGCTGCTTGCAATCGGATGTGTAGTGGGGCACATCCGAATCTTTACTTCCTCTGATGATGTTTGCATCTTTTGATGCTGTTGGAACCCGGCACAGTCTACACACAGACCTGGTGGCAGAATGGTGGCGACGATGACCAGGACAGGGATGATCAAACACGCTCCTGGGGCAACGCACTGTGGAGAACGTTGCCAATCAAAGTCGGCAAATTCGACGCTCACCCCTCACTATGGCCTAGTTGGAACGCACCCCTCAGATTGCATGCAGATTGAATGCACGGCCCCACACCCCCTGGAAAGGGATGGCGGCGTGCCAACATTCAACTTTCCCTCGCGCTCCACTGTCTTCGTCCCTCTTCCGCCTCCTTTTTTCCTGCCTCCCTCGTCAGTCCTTCATTCTCCCCTCGTTCGTCCTCCTCGTCCTCGTCCTCCTCCACCTCCTCCTCATCATCATCCGGGTCCATCTTCTTCTACTCCTTCTCCTGATCGCCGACTTGAGCATATCATGATCACGCGCATCCTCGCACACACTCCTGATCGTCACCCCTGTGGTCATTATCATGATCATGGTCAAGATCATGATCTGGATCATCATCTGCATACTCAGCATCATCGTTACCATAATCACCACCATCACAACCATCACAACCATCAGCACCATCAGCATCATCGTCATCCTCACCACCATCATCACAATCATCAATCTCACCATCATCACCATCACCAGCATCATCATCATCATTATCGTAATACTCGTCCTCATCCTCATCGTACTCATCATCCTCATCCTCATCTTCATCGCCCTCATCCTTATCCTCAGCCTCATCCTAAGAATGGCCATCGTCATGGTCATGGTCACCTCCTTATCCTCCTCTTCCTTCTCCTGATCCTTATCCTCCTCACCCTCCTTACCCTCCTATTGTTGACCCTCCTACTCGTCCTCCTCCCCCTCCTCCTTGTCCTCCTCCTCCTCTTCCTCCTCCTCCTTATCATCATCATCCCACAACACTACCACTGCTGCCACACCTCTCCTCTCCTTCCTCGCCCTCCCCGTCCTGTCCCTGCCTCCCGCCTCCGTCTCCTCCCCCTTCCCTTCTCTCCCCCTCCCTGCACGCTCTTCTCTGCCCCTCCTCAAATGCACAAAACTGGACGCGTCAAGCGGCGATGGAGGACCTGCACTCAGCTTTGCATTTCCGGGGGGCGGCGGGGGGAACACGACCACCGCGGACAAGACGAGGTCTCCGAATCACAGAGCAAAGGACGGGGGGCGGCGAGGAGGTACCAACGTTGGCGGTGTGCGGGTTATGACGATGAACGCGGTGGCCCGTTCTTCGAACGCTCCCAACAAAACGCAGTGAGAGGAATCATGATAGCCGATGTTTCAGACGTCCTCGGCAACACTTAGCGACAAAACCGTTCACATACGATTGCCGATATTAAGAACAACGGCGTAACGTGCCATAATCATGACCTGTTGCCCCTCTGCGTTGGGGTGGGGAGGCACGGGTGTAAAAAGGCATGCGGAAGCGCATTGTGTTGGAACGTGTTACCGTCCGGGCATACGTGCATCGAGCGCCGCCGACGTGGAAACCGCGTAGGGTGCAATGAAGTGGGGGGAGGCGTGAGGACTCGCTGTCCCGACGGTACCCCCTGCAGCCACGGCTCAGGGCCGCGCTGCTGTGATTCGCCTGCTTACGGCCTTCAGCCATCCCCATGGCCATTGAGAAAAGGTACAGTCGGGGCCTTGACCTAAGGAACCAAAAATAAGGAACGAGGCCCCTTTTTTCCATAAGTTAAACTTCGATGTCCTATCGAAAACCTAAGGAAAACCTGGGGCAAGCTGCGAAACACTTAAGGAACGCGGAGCCCCTCCCCAACGAGAAGGGTTCCTTCTTCAGGGCCCCCCCTGTAGAGGGAGGAGGCAGGCGAGGAGGCAAAGGGAGGAGGAGCGGGAAGTGAGCAGGGAGAGGTGGCACGGGGAGGGGGCCGGCGGAGGAGGCAGAGCGGGCAGGGGCAGCAGGGCACGGGGGCAGCACTGGACCGTCACGCACCGCCGTCGCCCACGCCGGGGTCACCTCCGCGCGTGACTCGGCGGCGAGCCGAGGGGGGAGGTGAGAAGGAGCGGGCCTGCTCAGAAGGCTCAGAAGCCCCCCTGGCCTTCTGAGAAGTTTTCTAAGCCTTCCCCGAAGGCAGACAAAAACTTCTCGGAAAGCCCAAGGGCCTCTGAGAAGTCCCGGCGCCTTCTGAGAGGGCCTTCTCCTTCTCGCTTCCTCCCCCCGCTCGCCGCCGACGTGCACCACCAGCGGGTCACGGAGCTTCGCTCTCATCGTCGTCCTCATCTTGAGCTAAAGGGTGAGGCCCGGCGCGAGTAGGCCCTCAGACCTCAGCGCGTGCACCTTCAGCCCATTCGACTTGCCCTCAGCGACGGCCGTAATGGCCGATGCCCCCCCACACCGCCGCAGCACACGATGAACCGCGATGAAGGTGGTTGGCCTCGGCCCCCGCCGGCAGCAGCAGCTCTATCCTCGATGCCGCCCGACTGGCTTTGGCCAGCCTCTCGCCCTGCTCAGGCACTCCGCGACAGCGACGGCTGCCGCTGTTGCCGTCCCCCAGACCTGCCGAAGGACCGTCATCCGACCCTGCCGCAAGATCACCATCACTGACCTGCCATGCTCCTGCTTACTGGAATGCCCCCCCTGCTTACCGAACGCGCTCCTTACAAGTCACGCCCTGTAAGTGCGGCATGAATCGTAGGGAGCTCCGAGAGAGGACGGGTGTGCATGGCCAGCTATGGAGAGAGAGAGAGAGGAGAGAGAGGCAGAGGGATGCCGCAGGCCTTCCAGAAGGTACTCGAAGCGCCCGTTGAGGGAGGCTGGTGAGCGCTCACTAGAAGGGCCCCCAAGGCATCCCAGGTCCCCTGCATCAGAAAATCATCCTCTGACGTATCCCTTCTTACAGTGCGGGCGCGGCCGGAAACCCAACCCTGAGAACCCGTGCGCGAAGTGCACCTGAGGGGAAACCCGGAGCACCCTGAACGCAGCAGCTCCTTCAACGGCTGCGGGAAGTCACCGCGCAGCGCGAGCGAAGAAATCCAGGATACCCTGACGAAAAGCATACGGTTTCTTGATGTGCGCCCCGACTGTACTCTGCACCAGAGAGCAGCACGCGGCATTGCCAAAAGCTTCCGGAGGCCGCGCGGGCTTCCCCGATGGACGCTGGGCCCCCCCTGCCCACCGCGGGGAGCGCGCCAGGGGGGGCCGGGGCCCCTCGCCGATGCGGAATCGGAGGAGCAATGGCAGGCTATGTTTGTGCCGCTGCATGTGCTGCTCCATCTGGGGCTCCTCCTCTTGCGCATGCATGCCATGATGGGCCTGGTTTCCACCACCACCACCACCACGAGTTGGATGGGGGGGAGGAGGAGGACGACGAGGAGAAGAGCAAAAAGGAGGGGGAGGAGGAGGAGGAGGAGGAGGAGGAGGAAGAGGAGGAGGAGGAGGAGGAGGAGGAGGAGGACCCCCTCCCCTCCAACTTATGGTGGTGGTGGTGGAAAACGGGCCCAGCATGCCGTGTCATTCTGCAGCCACGCGGACTCGGCGCTCGTGGGCGGCGAGACCTCCCGTGGGAGCCCCTGCCGCGAGGAGAGGGGGCGCCGCGCGGTCCCTCATCGAGGCGCGGTCGAGCTGCGCGCGCAGGTCGATGTTCTGGGTGCTGAGCTGGCCCAGCAACTGCAGCGTCTGCTGGTGGTGAGCCTCCAGGGCGCAGGCAAGGCTTTCCACAGATCGTGACGGCCAATTTTTGTTATCGATTTTGGCATCTGGAGGCCGTCTCGCAACCCCGGGACCGTCAACGAACGACTCGGGATGATAAACTTGTCCATGGGGACGAGGTCCAGACCTCTAGGGTGGCAAAGTAGTGACAAAAATCACGACGTTTTGGGTTCGGGCCCCTCGTCCCACATATGATGAACATTTGCCTCCCCCCCCAATGCATATGGGATCGAGGCCCCATCCCCGCTGAATAAGCACAGTATGCCCGTGCGCCCAGCGACAGTCTCGCGAATGGGATCGGTTTCCCCCCCCCTCTGTGGCCCTGTGGGCGTGGAGTGGTGGAGGGTGTCGGTGCTCCCCCCCTCCTTACGTATCCTTACGTGACGTTCTTCGTCGACGTCGTCGTCGTCGACTTCCGTAGTCGTCGTCGTCGTCGTCGTCGTCGTCGTCGTCGTCGTCGTCGTCGTCGTCGTCGTCGTCGTCGTCGTCGTCGTCGTCGTCGTCGTCGTCGTCTACTGTCGGCGTCAACGTCGTCGTCGACGTCGGTGTCGGCGAAGGCGTCGGTGTCTGCGTCCGTCGTCGGCGTCGTCGACGTCGTCGAGGTCGTCGTCGTCTTCGTCTTCCGTCGGCGTCGTCGTCGGCGTCGGCGTCGGCATCGGCGTCAGCGTCGGCGTCGTCGGCGAAGTCGTCGTCTTCGTCGTCGTCGTCGTCTTCCGTCTTCCGTCTTCCGTCTTCCGTCTTCCGTCGTCGTCGTCGTCGTCGTCGTCGTCGTCCACTGTCGGCGTCGACGTCGTCGTCGACGTCGGCATCGGCGTCAGCGTCGGCGTCTGCGTCCGTCGTCAGCGTCGTCGCCGACGTCGTCGAGGTCGTCGTTGTCGTCGTCGTCGTCGTCTTCCGTCGGCGTCGTCGGCGTCGGCGTCCGCGTCGACGTCGGCGTCGTCGTCGTCGGCGTCGGCGTCGGCGTCGGCGGCGGCGTCGGCGTCGGCGTCGGCGTCGGCGTCGGCGTCGACGTCGGCGTCGGCGTCGGCGTCGGCATCGGCGTCGGCGTCGTCGTCGTCGGCGGCGTCGTCGTCGTCTTTGTCTTCCGTCAGCGTCGGCGACAGCCCCCTCCCGCCCCATCCCATAGGGAGAGGCGCTTTGGAGCCCTGGGACCCATCCCCTCTGGGGTGGGGGACTGTGAACCCTCGACCCGGGATCATATATGCGGGTGCCCTTCACTAGTCAGGATGACGTCTTGCAGGGTTCAGGGTGTGCTGGCAAACTCGGTCCTCACCCGGTGGAGCCTTGCCACCATACGAGAAGGTGAGTGTGTAGAGAGCGAGGAGCCATGTCGCCTGGAGACCTGGTACCGAGCAAGAGTGGCCAAAATGGAATGGTGGGGTGGTGGAGCCCAGTGGACCGCAAGAGAACTGCAGGGTGGCGTAGAGTAACGGAGAGAAGTGGGGTAGAGGAGCGGGCAAAGTGAAGCGGATTGGGATCGGTGCATGCAAATGGGCTGGGGTGACGTGGGAAGGAATGAAATGGAGCGGATGGTAGAGGATAGTGGAGTGAATCATCCTCGGAACCCTGATAACCCTGTGAGCTTCCATCAAACATCTTTCTCGCCCAGGCTCCACCCCAGCAATTATTCACCGTGCTGCCCTCCAGGCGCTTGGTGAATCCGAGATGGTCTCAATTCTATGCCGCAATCAGTCAGCCAAGGCTCCGCCCAAGCATAAGCTCGTCGTCATGCACCTCAGTTGTTAGCTTCATTCAAAAAATCGAACCGCCTTGCACATGCACAAACATTATTAGGAAATCCTGCCGATGGACGTCGATCTTAGGCGACTCTGAACCGCCGATGTTGGATGAACTGGCGAGCACCCTGGACCCAAAACAATTCAAAAACTCTCAGTGGAAAGCACAATCGGCCTTGCTCATGGGGCGCAGTCTGCCGTACGCAACATCATCGAGAGGCGTGTAATTTGTCACGCGCTCGCTAAATTCGATGTGCTGAGGCTTACCTCAACGACTCAATCCTGTCAGTTGGCCAAGTACGCAAATACGATCAAGACTTGTGAATGCAATGGGTATCATGTTGAAATCAAACTCGCCATTCCTCGACATTCGTACGTGTGCGACCACGTCGAACGCGCTCGCCCGTCTGTGCACGCTGGCAGAAATCGCCTGGATTCGAGAGTCGACCTGGAGGTCCGGCACCGTGAGAGGAGGATGAGGGGGAACCCAAGATGGGAGGATAGAGGAGTTAGCCGCGCTCGATAGCTGCACATGTGATGACACGTTGCCCACAAAGAAACGAGGTTAGCTGCGCGCCTGCTCGCGGCGCCTATCATATTATATTTGTGTGCGTGTATATTTATTTATATATATATACACACTAGACGCGCCGATCACACACACATAACTATATATGCGTATTTGTATGTGTACTAGAACCACGCGCGCTCTTCGCGCGGGCTCAGGTTCTAGCAACAGATAGTTGTAGTCTTAAGTGCTCGGAGTCGTAGGGCATACTGTCACACGGATCGTGCACCTTAGGGAGCTCCACCTGGGTCCACCAGCCCATGCTGGCACACCCCTCACAGGGATCGCGCCCTACCGGGAGATCCACCTACGTCCCCAGAGACGAGGTTCGCAGAGTGGCACGCCCTTCACGCGGATCGTGCCCCGTAAGTGAATACATTTGCGGCGCTAGTAAGGAGCTTCATAGCATCGCCCCGCTCTCCTCGCCACACCTCTCACACGGGTCGTGGCCCGCAAGGAATTCCACGGACGGCCCCAGAAGCAAGGTTCGAATCCCGCCATCCCGCCTATTCCGGCACACCTCTCACACGGATCGTGGCCCACAGGGATCTCCACCAATGGCCCCAGAGGCAGGGTTCGCACTGCGCCCACCCTCCCACGCCATTGCGGCACACCCCACCACGCGGATCGTGCCCACAAGGAGCACCACTTAAAGGTCCAGAAACAAGGTTCGTACAAAGCCCTCCCCGCCCATTTCTGCACACCTGTCACGCGAATCATGCCCAGTGGGCAGCTTCGCATGGCATCCCCGCGCCGATTTCGTAACATGCCTCGCACGGGGCGTGCCCGGAGGAGGTCCACCTGCGGCCTCAGTGGGCGTGTTCGCGCGGCCCTTCACGCGGATCGTGCCCCACAATGAGGTCAGCGCGCCCGTGCCGAGCCTGGCGGCAGCCATCTTTCCGCATTGCCCCGCGGCGCGCAATGTATGAAGAGAGACCCGCGCCCTGAACTGCACATGACTTCATCGGGATGGGTCCGTCACCAAACCAATTGCTTACTTATCCATGGCCTTCGGCCAGTACCGCTACTGTGCCTCATTTTTGGGCCCGACGATTCTTCGATGCCTGCAGTTGGGGGTCTCCTGGCATGCTCCTCGTGGAGCGAGTTTTGAAGCCTCTTGTGGCCTTATGTGAGCCCTGTGGGGGCCTCTTGGGGCCTCTTTTGGGGCCCTGCTGCAGCCTGGGGGGCCCACTGGTGGCGGAGGGCTTGACATGTCGATTGGGGCTCCCCCATCTTGGACTCCTCTTGGGGCCGTTTTGGGCCGTCTTGGGCGCCTCTGGGACCGTTTTGGGGTTCTCTTGGGCCGTCCTGGGGCCCTCTTGGAAGCCTCTTGGAAGCCTCTTGGGCTGTTTTTGGGGCGATCTGTAGGGCCTCTCGGGCCGTTTTGGGCGCTGTTGAAACCAGAGTGCGAAAATGTTAAACATGTTCGCTCCCCTCGGGAAGGAAACAATTTGGGCCCGTTGGGCCCCCTCGGGCCGCACCATGGAACCTTCGTAGGACATCTTCGGGACCTCTTGACCCGTGTTGAAACAAGTATTCGGGCGCCTTCGGCCCTGTCGAATTTTGGTCGAATGTTGGTTGAATTCTTGCTTGGATTTTGTTCGGCCCTGTCGACTTTTAGTATTTGGGCGACACTGCTCTGGTCGAATTTTGGTGGCCTCAGGAGGACTTGAACAGCGGAGGGGAAGGCGCCCCCAGGGTGGGATGGGCCCGCGCGCGCTGGGTCGGGAACCGCCCAGCGGTCGCGGTGAGCCCAGGAGAGGCTGTGAAGGAGGCCAGAAAGGGCACGCGCACTGATGCTGCCCGCTGCATATCCATCCCCGCTTCCGGAAGAAGCTCCTGGGAGGTTTTCGTTAGAACGGCGAGGGGAGACTCCACCCGCTTGAGGCGACGTTTCGCCGGATCAGGATGGACTGGGCCTGGGAGTTGAGCCAGATCAGGCTGGAATTAGTGGGACTGGGTCGACTTAAGCTGGACCAGCCCAGACTAAACCGATCATCGACCGCGGAAATACCAGCGCCGATACAGAATCTAACATCCCAAGAGATGCATCCATCCCCACTGCTACGCAATGGTGCATGGGTGAATCCGCTGAGGCATAGAGGAATACCAGAGGCTGCCTTTCAAGGCTTCTTCATTTCAGTAGGGGATCCCCCCCCCCATACCTGCACTACTGTTGAAATTCGCCGGCCCAACGGGCCAAAGGCGTGCTAAGATCTCCGGTAACTGGTTAACAATTTTTCTAGTTCGCGCGCGCGGGGCGGCCCCTGGGTGTACCCCGGCGAAAATTATCCCGACCGCAGCCCGACCAAGTCTACCCAGAGATGGTTTTGAGGGCCTTTTTTTGACACCCCTCACGAGGATCGTGGCCTCCGAGGGGGGTGCACTCGACTACCCCGCCCAAAGAGGCCCCCAAGAGCCCCCCAAGAGGCCCAAGGGGCCCCCAAGACGCCGCCAAGGAGCCCCAAGAGACCCCCAAGAGGCCCCCAAGAGGCCCCTAGGATGCCCCAAAGAGGCTTCAAAGAGGCCCATAGAGCGCTCGAGGGCCGGCGGAATGAGCGAAGCGATTAAATAAACATGTGTGCACCATTTCGGGTTGAGCTGCAAATCGGATGACACTGCTGCTCCCCCGCGCCCCCGACCTTAATATTGATAGTTGTGACATCTTCCGGGGACCTTCGAAAAATCAAAGAGACATCCCACTTCAGCGTGCGCGCCCGCTCTCAATGTTCTAGATCGGGGGCGGGGGGGGGGTCGTATCATCAGTTGTCGTGCCGCCCAGGTGGTGCAAACTTGTTGCTCTCAACCGTATCTGCATGCCTCGCCCCCCTCCTCTCGAGGCCGCGATCGCCCGCAACAGCAAAAAGAAGAAGCCGGAGTTCGGCCTCCAGAGGCCGCGACGTCCCCCGCAAAAGACAGCAGCGGGCCCGCGCCCCCGAGGCCACGATAGGCCTCAGTGGAGGCCCTTTCAACGAAAACAACCCCGAACCTCCATTTTAGGAGGCTAGGGGAAAAGATCCAGAACACTACCTGGAAATATCCAGAAACTCCATGTCAGAAGACTCGGAGATAAGATCCACTTTAGAAGGCTGGGAGAAACTATTCATGTTAGAAGGCTTCTAGAAGATCCAGAAGATTAGGGCGCCTTCCATAGCATATATTCCAGCAGGAGGGGTGAGGAGAAAAGGTGGAGGAAATACAATGAAGCAGGAGGAGGGAGCAGGAGGAGCGACGGGGCAGGGAGACGAGGTAGCAGGAAAAGCACAGGAGGACGGACGAGCTGGGAGAAAGACCAGAAAGGAGGGGTAGGATCTGCGGCTTCAGACCGGGCCAGGCCCATGTTCTACCACCTTCGCCAACATCCACCTCAAACATATCTCACGCAGGTGCATTGCGTACGGGAAGAGATTGGCTTGAAGAGCGACAACGCTTCGCCCTCCAATGTCGACCATCATCGAACTTCCGACTCGTTCCCGGTCGGACCACCTCTGCCCTGGCCCCGACATTGGAGGGGCGTCGCATCGACACCGAAGGGCGCGCCGACCTCCAAAGGGGCACTTCCGCCGTTTGTTTGAAGTTAATTTTGACGACGATACGGCTGATGGACATCATTCGGCTACACGCAGGAGTGACCCTGGGTAAGAATGACCTTTGGTGCGCGGCTTTTCGGGGGCTGCGGGGGGGCCGAAAACAGGCGCGCAAGACGTTACTATCGCATCGCGTTCGGCGATTGGGGGGCCCCACTGGGCCCGCACCAGAGGTCACTCCGGCGAAAGGTCACTCTTACGTCTAGTCGAATCATCCTGCACCCGCCGCGCACCCGGGGCGACGGCGCAAACTTCCACGCGCCCCCCTGTCCCAGATTCAATGTTGATTGGCTGCGCCCGTGGGGCGCAGGATTTAGGCCACTGTCGGCATATCGACACATCGCGCCACGGCCCGCCAATCTCAAATTGAAGGCGCGGGAGGCGAAAACAAGCATTTAGCACAAAGTCCAGAATTTGTCCATCAGCGGTAGTAATGATGCCGTTCTCTGGCCAGGGCTTCTCGTTTGGCCCGAAGCGTATCATGCTGACGCCGCCGTTGACGGCAAACAGATAACACTCATATAAAAAAGAAAAACGATTCAACATCGAACCGGGAATTCGGATCCGATCGGAACGCGTGTCGGATCGCGCAACATCGGCACGATGCCGACATCGAATCGGATCGGCCGCGCCAGGATGCACAACAACGCCAAACATGCATCGGGCCGCATCGGATCGTCATCGGATCGTCGGCGTAATGGAAATGATGGATTGAGCCGGCCGGAATTGATATCGAATCGGGTCGTTTGGGTTGGCATGGGCCCTGAGAGAAAGGCATGAGCTCCACGCCTTGCAGTCCGCGACCACCTGCTGCAGCTGCAGCAGCTCCAGCTCCTTATCGGGGTCGACCGCGCGTAGGCTCGCCTTGCGGGGTGCGGTCGGGCCCAACACCGGCGACTAGCGGGCGTGGCGGGGGAGGGAGAAGGGAAGGAGCAGGCGGGCAGGAGGGAGGAATAGAGGGGTGAGAATGAAGGGAGGGACGTGTGTTGGTGTTGTATATTCTCCACGCTTCGCGTCGCCCCACCAGCCCGTTCATAGAAACCCTGCCTTTGAAGCGGCAAAAGGGACAAAGAGACACATAGTGAGACAGAGCGGGCAACCAGGATGAACAGAGAGACCTCTGGGAGCAAAGGGGGTGTTGGAGGGCATCTTCGGGCCATCCCTGGGGCCCCCGGGAGGGCGATGGGAGGGGAAGGAATATGTCGTATTCGGCTGGCCGCCCGGCCCCTCAAGCCCTGCTCCGTCGTGTCTGCCCGCAGGGCCCCCTTCTTGAGGGCGACCACGACGGATGCCAGAAGCCCGTGGACGTCCGTAATCCGCTGACACATGAACAGCATCGGACTTCGCGGTATGCACGACTTGCACTTGCAGGGCGGCTCGAGGCCGCTGTAGAACCACGGGCAGTCCGCCAATGGCAGGCTGCAGCCGACACTCCAGGAAAAGGCGTGGCCAGGTCACCGCTCTGTCTGTATAGAAACTCGTCGGGGCATGCACGCCTGCCTCTCCACTCTTCACCTGGACAGGGCGCGCGACCTCTGCTCCCGCCACCTGGGCCTGCCTCTCCCCATCACCGCTTGGGCCCTTCCCGACGTCGGGGCATGCACGCGTTTCACGACACCTGCAGCAGCGGCAGGGCGTGAGGTTGTGGCCACTCCACCCACCACCCGGGCCCAACAACCCGCCGGGACCCCTCCTCCCACCACCTGGGTCCTGGCCCCGGCAGCTCCGCTCACTGCCTGGGCCCTGCCCGACGTCGGGGAACGGGAGCGTCTCGTGCCATCTGCTGAGGCAGCAAGGCATGCAATTGTGGCCACTCCTCCCGCCACCTGGGCTCCACAACCCGCGCGGACCACTCCTCCCGCCACCTGGGTCCTGGCCGTCTCAAGGGCCCTTCCCGACTGTACAGCGGCAGTTGGGCATGCAACGCCCGAATCCGAATCGCCATCGAAGTCGTCCACGGTCTCGAACGTGTCGTTGGAAGTCCTTTGATCCCGGTCCGCTGCGAGGTCCCGCAGCTCCTGCTCCAGCGAGTCGAGCGCGGCTGCTCCCCGAGTCCCACCTCGATGATGTCAGGATGCGCGCCGAGGGGGTCTGGAGGGTCTCCGTCCTGGTACGGGGCCTCCAGCAGCACGTGGAAGTCTCCCACTCCTTCTCGCAGAGTGAAGTAGGCCCCTGCGCCAAGGCGACAAGGCGGGGCCTCCCGCCGCCAAGCCGTCGACACCTGTCGGGCCAGCAAGCGGTTCCCTCCAGCCCTGCACGCCACGTGCTCCGCGACGCAGACCTCGACCGAGAAGCTCGAGAAATCCACGCCCCTCCCCGCGCCCAGCCGCTGCTCCTTGGCGGCCGCACGGAGCTCCGACGACGCCGCCGTGTGGATCTGCCCCTCCAGCGCGTGGGCACGGGCATGAAGCGCCACGCTGCGCCTGAGGCGATCCAGCCAAGGCGGAACTCGACCTGCAGTCAGATGGCTGCAGCGCCAGGGTCACCGCCGATACGCGACCCGCGATCGCAGCGTCGCCCACCAGGCCCGAAAGGGCGGGCTCGGCGAGAGCGAGTCGCTCCTCCAGCTGCTTGGCTGCACCCACTGCGCTTCGAACGGCACGGTCAGCAGCCCCCCGAGCGCGGTCACGCCGAGCCTTGCGCGCCGTCGCCGGCTCCCGGGCCTCCCCCACATGGGGCGCCTCCCGCAGCCACCATGCTCGCACCTGCCGCCGCGCCAGGGGGGGCTAAAATGAGCCAAAATGACTACGGAGGAGGAGGAGGAGGAGGAGGAAGAGGAGGAGGAGGAGGCAAACCGCCTCTTGGGGCCCTCGTGGGACGCTCTGGGGCGCTTTTGGACGCTCTTGGGGGGCCGTCTTGGAGTCGTCCGTCTTGGGGCTCGCTTCGGGCTTTCCTGAGAGCCCTGGAAGGCCAACACTGGGGCCATTTTGGAGACCATCGAGCAGAGGGGGGGGTCCCATATCTAGGTCCCCCCTGTGGGGCCCTCAGAATCGCCCCTTGGCTCCCTCTTGGAGCGCTCTTGGGAGCTCTTGGGGCCGTCTGTGGGGCCTCGTGGGCTCCTCTTGGGGCTCTTTTGGGCCATCGTAAGGCAATCTCGACGCCTCAAAAGCGCATGAGAAGCGAAAAGGCGACAACGCCAATATCATTGATGTCTGCTGGTGTTGATCATGTTTTGCCCCTTGGAATGGTCCTGAGGGGGCCCCGACAGCACTTGGAACCTTCTTCCACGGGGGCCTTCGGTGGAGCCCCCTACCTGGCCACGAATCGTGTGAGGGGTGTGCCGAAATGTGGCGGGAGGACGCATGTGAACTGTGCCACTGGGGCCTTCGGTGGAGCTCTCTCAGGGTGTGCTGAAGTGGGGCGGGGGGCGCACGTGGACTGTGCCACTGTGGCCTTCGGTGAAGTTTCCTATGGGGCCAAATGGCGCACCTGGACTGTACCACTGAGACCTTCGGTGGAACTTCCTGTGGGATCACGAGAACGTGTGAGGGGTGCGCCGACATGGGGTGGGGGCACGCATGTGGACTGTGCCACTGGGACCTTCGGTGGAGCTCCATGTGGGGCCACGAAACGTCTGAATGGCGTGCCGAAGTGGGGCGGGCAAACGCATGCGGACTGCGCCACTGGGACCTTCGGTGGAGCTTGCTATAGGGGCACGAACCGTGTGAGGGGTGCGCCGACATGGGGCGGGGGGGCGCAAGTGGACTGTGCCACTGGAGCCTTCGGCGGAGCTCCTCATGGGGCCAGGAGATGCGTGAGCGGGGTGCCGAAATGGGGCGGGGGAGCGCATGTGGACTGTGCCGCTGGAGCTTTCGGCGGAGCTTCACATGGGGCCACGGAGCGTGTGAGAGGAGTGCCGACATGGTGTCGAAATGGCTGGCGTGTTGAGGTCAGACGCAAGGATGGGAGCATGGAGTAGGGGGGGAGGAGAGGAGGAGACGCGGGGTGCTGTCTCCTCAGACGAGGACTCAACACCCTAGGATGCAAAACAATGCAACACTATGAAGCGTCATGGAACGCAATGCAACGCAATGCGAAGCAATGTGAAGCAATGCGATGCAATGCAACACCATGCAACGCAATGCACAGCAACGCAAAGCAATACGGAGCAATACAAATACATGCAAAGCGATACAAAACAATGTAAACACATGCCATGCAGAGCAATGCATCGCAATGCATGGCAATGCAATGCGATGCAAAGCACTGCAACGATACGCACAGCTGTGCACGGTGCAGAGCAATGCGAATCGTGAAAAACAGTGCGCAACCCTGCAAAGCACTGCAGCATCATGCCACGCGGTGCACAACAACGCAGAGCAGCGCAAGCAATGCGATGGCAACGCGGCAACCGGGCGACCGCCACGCGGCGGCGACGGGCCCAGCGGCGACCGGGGCGGCGACGCGGCTGCCAGGCCGCCAGACAGTCTGCGACCGGCGCTGGAGCCCTCTGGCGGCGCCTCTGGCGCTGCCCCTGGCGCGCCCCGCACGCCAGGGAGAAGGTTCTAGCGCCGATCCAAGAAATCCGCCTGGACCTCAGAAACACCATGATTCTGCAACGCTGCTTCTTCGAAGTCATCCGCCCGACTCTCCGCCGCAGCTTCTGCCGCCCAACTCTCTTACTCTCCGCCCGACTCTCTGACTCTCCGCAAAAAAAAAAAACGTCCCTGCCTCCCCCGCAGTGGTCAAGGTTGGCGGTGGGCTCACTGACTTGCACCTCGACCGCAGCTTCTCCCGCGCGTGCCAAATTTCAACCTGGCATCTGGCGGAGAGGGGGACCTAGACATGCGACGTCCTGATTTTTTCAATCCAGCATCCCCGGAAGACCCGACCCTTTCCCCAGGGCCGGTTTTTCATCCGGAGTCGTTTTCTGACGCTCCCGGGGCCCGGCGAGGGCCCCCATGGGCCAGAAAACAGTGAACAACCGCCCGCCCTGATTCTTGGTCCCCGACGCGATCCTGTCTGGGGGGCATCCACTGAAGGCTTCCCTCTGCCCTTCTTCCTCCTCGAGATGCTCCGCATTTCGGGTCGGGCGAAAGGGGGGGATAGCAAAGGGGGGGGTTGAGAATCAGCTCGCGTAGCTGGTTTTTCCCGGCGCCTCCCGGCGCCGGGAGGCGTCCATGTATCGAGGAATGGGCCCCTCCGTGGGGCCGAAACCAGCTGCATGCAGCAGATTTCGTACCCCCCCCTTTCCCAATCCCCCCCTTTCGCCCGGCCCGAAACTCCAGGGCCTGCCGAGGAGTTTTCAAACGCCTTCCCTGGAGACACAGAAAGCTCATCAGAGAGCTTATCAGAAGGCGATCCTGTCTGGGGGGCATCCACTGAAGGCTTCCCTCTGCCCTTCTTCCTCCTCGAGATGCTCCGCATTATTTGGACACCCGAAATGGGCACCGAAAGAATGGGTACAATGCCCAACAACAAATGTTGTCCCGAACCAACAGCGGCCGCTGTTGGGCAGGCGGCCTCCTGTCTCGAATGGACACAGGCCGCGGCGGCGCGGACAGCGGATCTTGTTCAAAAGGAACAAGATCCGCTGTTGGGCATTGTACCCATTATTTCCGTGCCCATTTCGGGCGTCCAGAGCATTGCGCACCCGCGGGGTGCTCCAGCCGCCCTCCGGGCGCGCGCCGGCGTGCTGCGGCGGCGGGGCCGCGGGCCCACGCCCCGGCAGGCCTGCGGGGCGGCGACGCACAGCGAGCGTCGTGGGCCTGTGTCCCACCACCACCACCAGAAGTAGGAGGGGGAGGGGGTCCTCCTCCTCGTCCTCCTCCTCCTCCTCCTCCTCGTCCTCCTCCTCCTCCTCCTCCTCCTCCTCCGTTCCGCCTCCTCCTCCGTTCCGCCTCCTCCTCCGTTCCTCCTCCTCCGTTCCTCCTCCTCCTCTCCTCCTCTCCTCCTCCTCCTCCTCCTCCTCCTCCCTCCTCCTCCTCCTCCTCCTCCTCCTCCTCCTCCTCCCTCCTCCTCCTCCTCCTCCTCCTCCTCCTCCTCCTCCTCCTCCTCCTCCTCCTCGCCCACCTCCTCGCCCACCTCCTCCTCCCCCACCTCCTCCCCCCCCTCCAACTTATGGTGGTGGTGGTGGAGAGCAAGCCCATGAGATCGTGCTGCCACGTGGGGGCGCCGCACCGCACAGGGAACGGAGGCGAGACTCGGACACGAGCGGGGTCACCGACGTCGACAGGAGGAACGGCCCCACAGCCAGAGCGGAGCCCCACCCGAGCCCCGAGCGCTCCACATTTCGGCGTCTTCCCTGGCCACGAGCGAGACTCGGCCACGAACGGGGTCACCGACGTCGATGGGATCTGGAGTCCCGAAACGGTGCGGTGACGGACCGCGCGGTGACCTCGGAACCCCACGAGACCTCACCGCACGGCCCGTCGCCGCACGGTCCTGGGACCCCGGAGGCCCCCGTCGCCCGAGACATCCTCGGAGAACGACCCGAGTCCCCAAACCGTGCGGTGACCCCGAGTCCCCACCGACTCACCGCACGGTGTGGTCACCGCACCCTGACTCCAGGTCCGCTCTACTCTGGCTTTTTTTCCCAACTTAAAATTGCGTCGGAAATCCACCTATAAGGAGCCGAAAAAGTAGGGCGGAAATTTCTGCACCCTGCAAAAAATGGGGCGAAAATCCACAGAAGTAGGGCGGAAACAGCAACAGAGAAGTATAGGGCGGAAATTGGCATCAGCGGGGCTTGAAAAGCAAGGCGGAAATTCCAAGCCCTACTTACGAAGTTCCCCAGAGTAGGGCGGATCCGGAGTCACCGCACCGTTTGGGGACCCCCGATGGGCGGCACGGCCCTGCAGCCAGAGCGGAGCCCCGCCCGAGCCACGCGCGGCCCCCGCCGCATGCGTCCCGGCTGTGGCGGGGGCGGGCGCGCGAGCCAGGGTGCGCACTGCCGCTTGCTGCCCTCTGCAGGTGCCGGCGTGAGTGGAGGGGCCCTGGGACAGACAAAGAAGATCCCCCATATGTTCCCATGGTTTCTTGGTGGTTGCCTTCCCCCCCGCTTCCCATATGTTCCCATATGTTCCGGTGTTTCTTTCCCTCCTGAGTGAGGGAGGCGGGCCCCGCGGGGGAAAAGCCCTGGACGCTGCTCGACGTTGTCGGGCTCGCTGGGGCCTTCTTGGAGGCCCCGACCGTCAAAGGACGGGCCAGAATGAGAAGATAGTCTTTGGGGAAGCCCCCGAGAAGGAGGCGGACGAGGAGGAGGACGACGAAGAGGAGGAGGAGGAGGAGGATCCCCTCCCCTCCAACGTGTGGTGGTGGTGGTGGTGGTGGTGGTGGTGGTGGTGGTGGAAAGCAGGCCCATCACACGACGGAGAGACACGTCGAACGCGCCGTGCACCCGTGCCACAGGAAAGACACGCCAGCCACTCGGGCGCACGCCAACAGTGGGCTCGGGATCCGTGGGCCCGGCGCGTGGGGGGAAACACGCGCGTCTCCAGCCGCCTGCGCGAACGACGGAGCGCGCCGCGTCTGCGCGCGAGCGGGGCCCGTCGTCCATCCACGCGCCTCGAGTCGGGGGCGCGCAGACCCGGCTTCGCGATCCCTGGACCTGGCGCGCGGTCGCCAGATCCATGGATCGGGGGAGGTGCCCTCCCCAAAGTGCCGCCGGTGCCGCCTCGTCCGGCGGCGGAAATCCGCGATTTCCCGTGGAAACGGGACCCGTCGCTAATCCACGCCCCCTTGATCCATGTTTGCGATCGCCTGACTCAGCCCACGCCTGCGCTTCCGCGACTCACAGGACGGGCGAGGTCCCCCGAAGATGCAGAGCTTTGAACGCCCGAAATGGGTGCGGAAAGAATGGATACAATGCCCAACAACAAATGTTGTCCCAAACCAACAGCGGCCGCTGTTGGGCAGGCGGCCTTCTGTTTCGAATGGACACAGGCCGCGGCGGCGTGGACAGCGAATCCGGTTCAAAATGCACAAGACCCGCTGTTGGGCATTGTACCCATTCTTTCCGTGCCCATTTCGTTCGTGCGGAAGAGCGAAGGGCAGGTTGTCAGTCCAGGGCCCGGCCGCGAGCTTGAGGGGCAACGCTGGGGTGGGGCCGGCGCAGGGGGTGAAGCCTCGCCCTGCAATGGGCGATACACCGCCAATAGACCGACAGTGGGCCCCTGATAGCGAATCCGCAGGTTCCTGGGCGTGGTGGGCTATCAGGCGATTGAAGGTCGATGCACCCCCCCGAGCCTAGTGTATGCAGGCCGAGAGTGAAAGCGCAGCACCCTTGGAGGTCAACGCTGCTGGCCACACAAAGAGCGGGTTGAAATATCAGCCATGATGAGGCGCTGCATCCTTGAGACTGCTTGTGACCCGATTCGAACGAACTTACTTGTATTACATGTTGCCCCCCCTGCTCACGAGCGGCGAACATATCTACATCCACACCCTCGAGGTCTGGAATCCGGGTCGCGATCCCGCGGATACGCTGTCGCATAGAAATGTTCCACGCGGGGCATGCGCGACAAAACGCCCCCTATCCAAAGGGTCGAGGCCCACATGTTTTCCGCTGGCGACCCCCCACCTTCGCAGACGGTGCTGAAACTCAACCGCTGAACCGAAAATGAGCGCACATGACTTGCGTGAATCCCCAAATGCTGGAGCAGCAATACATCCACACCACTTTGACTGACCGCTCCAGAAGCTCCGAATGCCCGCCGACCCCCGCTTGCCTGGGGAACCAGGCGCGCGCCAACATGGGTTAGGGATCCATGGATCTAGCGCGTGGGCGCTAGATTTAGGTCGGGCCTGTCCCCGACAGGCGGTTTTTGGGCGAAAAGTTCAAAATACACGATTAGTGAACGCCCTCCCTGCCCCCCAAACTCAAAGTTGGCACGCGCAGGGGAGACTGCGGAAGGAACACCAGGGGGACTCGCCGGCAAAAAGGGTAGCAGAACGCATGCAAACCAAAGGAACGACCGAGCCCATTTTGAAAAGTAAGTGTTCCTTATTCAAGGCGGATCCTGCAAATCCAGTTAGCAGGGGTGAGGGGGGGGTGGCGAGCTCCTCAACGCCCCCTCCTCTCCTGGCAAACAGCGTCATAAACATAAACTGTCGACGATCTGCGCGGACTTCTTGGATCAGCGCTGGGCCCCACTCCCTGGCGCGCGCCAGGGGCGGCGCCGGAGGCGCCGACAAGGGGTCCCAATCACCGATCCAAGACTCCCGCGCCAATCGCCGACAGTTTGTGTATTTGTGTTGTTTGTTCTGCTTCGATGTAAGAGGGCCCCGACACGGCCAAAGAGGGCTCCAAAACGGCCGAAGACTTGCCGCAATACGGGGCCCGAGCCTCCAAGACGTCCCAAGAAGGCCCAAGAGAACCCCAATACTTATGAAATTAATGAAGTTCGTGTGATTTTTCAACCACAAGCAAACACAACACGAAACTTGTAGATTCGGCATTAGTTTTCGCACTTTTTAATCCACAAGCAATCTGATCACCGTTCTGGGCTTCCGAAATGGAGGAGGAGGAGGAGGAGGAGGAGGGAGGAGGAGGAGGAGGAGGAGGAGGAGCAGGAGGAGGAGGAGGCGGAGGAGGAGGAGGAGGAGGAGCTCCACATCCTCCCTCTTGCTCTGTGGCGGTCTTGCTGGACCCGTGGGCCCTGCAGACCGCGCGCGCCGCGACGCGGCCTGGTGCCGAGCGCGCGCCGGCGAGCTGGGCGGGCTGCAGGGCGGGCGCGGCCGGCTCCAGGCCGGGCAGGCCTCGCGGGGCCGTCGGGCGGCGCGCGCGCGGCCCCACTTACAGTCGGGGCGTTGACCTAAGGAACCTTAAATAAGGAACGAGGCCCCTTGATCCCAAAAGTTAAGCGTGGATTTCCCATCGAAAACCTCGGGAAAAACCCCAGCCAAACTGTAACACACTCAAGAAACGCCGAGCCCCTCCCCAACGAGAAGGGTTCCTTCTTCAGCGCCCTGATTGTAAAACGGGTCGGACGAGGGGGGCGGCCAGCAAGGGCCCAGAGCCCCTCGAGCCATGAGGAACTCACGACGGGAGGTGTTTCGCTAAACTTCGGCCTCCGGGGGCCGTTCCTGGGCCTCGGGGCCGGCAAGGGCCCAGAGCCCCTCGAGCCATGAGAAACTCACGACGGGAGGTGTTTCGCTAAACTTCGGCCTCCGGGGGCCGTTCCTGGGCCTCGGGGCCGGCAAAAAGCTACCCAGGATGAGAGGCCGGTCCCGGGGAGCAGGTCGGAAACTCTGAGGCGTCGACGTCTCGAAGGAATGACGACGCCGGGCCAAGGGTCTGGGGGGGCTCAGCCGATCAGCGCTGGCGCTAGACGGCCGGCCCCAGGACAGGAGAGCGATTATCACAGTACCTCATCCTATCCTCCGCCAAGGGTTACTCCTTCCTCCTCCTCCTTCCTACCCCTTGCTTTTCTCTGGGACTCTCATTGCGTAACCAGTTGCCTCTTCTCGCGCCAAGTGCAAGGGACACGCGGCCAGGTCCAGGCCGAGACCGTCCGCGGCCAGACCGAAGAGCGTTCGAGGGTAGACCCTCCTCCGGGAAGCAAGAGCATCCAACAACACACGAAGAACGTTAGGCGACCCTCCCCGAAAAGACCTCGATCTGACACCTCGGCCAGGCTGTATCCTCCCCCGGGATGCACAAGAGCATCCAGCAAGCAGGAAGAACACTCGGGCACCCTTCCCGGAACGGCCGCGATCCTACATACCCCGGTCCGACCGTAGCTGGCTTCTCTGGTGACTCCCCGCGACGCGGAGGACCCACCAGTGAGAAGGGAGGGGCGCGCTCGGCGGCGGTGCCGAAGCCGGCGGAGAGCAGCAGCTTTCGTCTGCCGCCCCCTTTCCCTAGACTTGTGGATGTCGTGACGCTGGACACTCTAACCGCTGTAGCATTGAGCTAGCTATGTCTTGTACATGTTTCCTACATGCTTTAAACATATCCGAAACATGCTTAAAACATGTTTCTAGCACTCTGGATACATCGTGTAACCATGTTTTAGACATCTGGAAATTGTTTGGCGACATGCCTCCTCTCCATTGATCGTCTTCCACAACCCTATACTCCACGTTGCTCGTCCGCCCCAACCAAATCGGCTCGAATCGGGGGGGGGACATAAGCCATGATCAAAACCGGGTCTTGTGCGAGACAACGCAGCGACCTGACGCCACGGCTTACCGGGGCCGCTGGCGCGGCACGCTACACGGGAAACGAAGGCGCTTAAGCGCAACCTTGCGCGGGCAGCTTACGCGCCGATGTCGGTGAAGACGACCTCGTTTTCTTCCGTCGCGGCCCCACCTCTATGGAGTGAAAAGACAACGACGACCCTGACCAAGGCAGAACATGGAAATGTCGATGTCGATCTTGGTCAGCGTCCTGGTCATCGTCAATTCGTGGGTCATCCTCGCGAATCGGCGGCGGTCGGCATGGACCATGACCAAGATTGACGACGGCAAGGTCAGGCGAGATCTTTCTCATGGTGATCATGTTCCTGCCATCAAGGCAACTCATGGGATGTTTGCGAGATATCATAAGTGCTACTCAATCCGATTACGGGGCCACAAAACCAAACTATCAGAAACTAAACCCAACATTGAGCTCGATTCAGATTCGGCACGCTGACCACGGATATCCAGCGCCGATGCTGAATTTCGCCTGCCAGGAGCTTCAGCCTGACATCGGGGTCCCTATGGCCCTCCTGGGGGGCGAAGTGTCTGTCACACGCGGGGCCCTGGCCGAGCGCTCCCCTTCCTGCCTTTAATGGGCCCCGGAACCGGCAAGGCCGTTTTTTCAGAGTTTTCGAAACAATTCCCCTTGAAAACGGAAACGGTATCAAAAAGCACGGCAACCAAAAACAACAAAAAGACGGCTCCAGAATTGGAGCTCGAACCGGAACCGACAGCAAATGACGACGGAACCAGAAGAGAAGAAAGGCGCCAGCACCGGCCACCAAAAAGGCAAACGGAACCGGTAACAAAAACCGCCCTGTCGTTTCCGGGGCCTGCTGAGCTGCCGTCCCACCAGGGGTGAGGGCGGGAGGGGCCCACTCTGCCAGGCAGGAGGTGGGGCCCAGCCCTGACTCCGGATCCGCCCTTCTTTGGGGAAATTCGTAAGTAGGGCTTGGAATTTCCGCCTTACTTTTCAAGCCCCGCTGATGCCAATTTCCGCCCTACTTTTCTGTTGCTGTTTCTTTAGATTTCCGCCCTATTTATGTTGGGTGCAGCAATTTCCGCCCTACTTTTTCGGCCTCTTGTAGGTGGATTTCCGACGCAATTCTAAGTTGGAAAAAAAAAACCAAAGTAGGGCGGAACCGGAGTGAGGGAGGCCTCCCGGAGCACATGCGGCCATCACGCTACCACAGGGAGCGCCAAACAACGCGCGAGGTGTCTTTCCTGGCCATTGCAAGCCTCTGCCACGAGCAGGCCCCCCGAGCTAGATCTCAGGAGCGGCCCGGAAACCAGAGCCCCTCCTGAGCCTCAAGCGGCCCTTATCTCAGAGTCTCGACTGTAGCAGCTGGGGTCGGAGGGCCGCGCCGCATCGCCGAGGCAGTGGCCATCAGCACCGAATCGGGAAATCGGCTCGATTGGGGATGTGCGTCAGATCGGGCTGCATCGGCACGGGGTCGAGATGGAAGCGGGTGGTCGGCAGGCACTGCACCAAGATGCACAACAATTGAGCGGGGACCGACCGACCCAGCATTCCTATAGGACTACCACGAAATGTTCTTAGAACCCGAAAATGCTTTGAAAAAGCAAAGTTGTTAGAACAGAAAGAACGCGATTCACGCCATCAAAACCAGGGGGACTGGGGACTCCCCTCCCCCCCAACCCCTCCCCTTCCCGAACCCCACTCCTTCCCAAGGAGGGGGGGATGGGTTGAAACCCCTCCCCCCGGCGCCGGCGCTGGCGGCCGCCAGCAGCGCCGACGGCGGGGACGCAGCGACGATGACCAGAGGCAGCCCACGGGGGGGCGGGGGGGGTCCAACCCCTCCCCCCCCTTCCTGGCGCCGAGGGGGGGGGTTCAAACCTCCCCCCCCCGGCGCCGGCGCGGGCGCTGGCGGCGGTCAGCAGCGCCTGCGCTGGCGCCGGCGTCGGCGGGGACGCTGTGACGATAACAACCACTACCACCACCAGCACCACGACTTATACCACCACCACCGCCTCAACCCACCACCACACCACCACCACCAACCCACCACAAAACCACCACAAAACCACCACAGCCACCACCACCACCACAACCACCACCACCACCACCACCAGCTCACCATCACCACCACCACAAAAACCCACCACCACTACCACCACCACCACCACAATCTACCACGGCACCACCACCACCACCGCCACAACCACCACCACGACCAGCAGCACAACCCACCACCACCACCACCACCACAAACCACCACACCACCACCATCACCGTCACCACCACCACCACCACCAGCACCACCTCCACAAACCACCGCCACCACCACAACCCACCACCACCACCAGCACCACAAACCACCACCACACCACCACCAAACCGCCACCACCACCACCCACCACCACCACCACCACCACCACCACCACCACCACCACCACCTTCAAACCACCACAAACCACCACCACACCACCACCACCACCCACCACCATCACAACCACTACCACCACAACAAACCACCACACCACCACCACAACCACCACCACCACCACCCACCACCACCACCACCACCACCACCACCACCACCACCACCACCTTCAAACCACCACAAACCACCACCACACCACCACCACCACCCACTACCATCACAACCACTACCACCACAACAAACCACCACACCACCACCACAACCACCACCACCGCCTCCACCACCACAGCCACCACCACCACCACAACCCACCACCACCACCACCACCGTCGTCCTCGACGACGCTCCCCGCCGCCGCCGCCCGCCGCCGCAGGCGCCAGCGCCGGCCCAGAAAAGGAAATCGTCGTCCCCACCGCCGCCGCCGCCAGCCGAGGAGAGGGAGAGAGGAGAAGTAGGGAGGGGGGCCCTCCATCCAGGGGGGGGAGGGGTCCGTTCCAAACCCCCACCCTCCAAGCGACCACAGAACGCGCTCTTTCTTAAAACATACGTCCGATGCGTTGAAACGACACAGTCTCAGCCAGAAATGTTCTAGGAACACTTCGTGCAGACCACAAACAATTCTTAGAACATTGTTTGGTGAGCCTATAGGGACGCCAAGACGCTTCGCCACTGCTTGAGCATCGGGGACCTTCTGACCCGGGTCAGTCCAAACCCGGGTCAGTCAGGCCGTGCAGACTCCTGCAAGATCCTGCACCCAAACCGGGGTCAATGCGAAGGATTCTGCAAGATCCTTCAAGATCCTGCACCCAAGCCCGGGTCTATGCGACCCTGGCCCGGCAGGATCCTGCAAGATCGGGCGCTCTGGCTGACCCACGTTTGCATTGACCCCCGTCTCGAGGCTCCCGAGAACCGATATCGGACCGGTATACCGATCGGGTCGACGTGGCCCCTGCCTTCGACGTGCTCAACTAGTTAACCCCAAAAAGGGCCCCTAATCCTCTGGGAGGGAGCCTAAGTTAGGAGGGCCAGAAACAGTAGGACGAGGGGCTCTTTTCTGCAGACGTATCGAACCAAACCGCCCCGACGCATTAGCCCTAATGCACAGGCGGGAACCTCAGTGAGGCCACGTCTTCACTGTGTTATTAGAGTTAGGGGTTCCTTTATTCTCGA